TTACTCCGAGTCCACGCATTCTTATTTTCCGGTCAGACGCCAGGACGGAACCTCTGCGCACAACCTGAGAGCGCCTAACCAGGGGAGAGGACAGTGTAGGGGGAGGGGACGAGTGAGGGGACACCGACTCATACATCCTCCCAGACTCTACTCCTTGCCGCCCCCCACTTCCCCAACCTGTCCTCCAAGCGGGTTTGCTATTAAGGTGGAACAGAGGAGGGGGAGGGGAACTGAGGACGGGTGCTGTCCACTGTCGGCCTCGTTACCCGCCCCAGCGACGTCAGTGTGAGTCAGCCCAGCATGTGAGTTTTTAATTGGGGAACAGAAATTGGAGACCGCGACCCCTGGCACGCGTGCGCACGTGCCCTCTCGTTGAGGGGAGTAGGGTTTATCTCAGTCTGGTCCCTTCGGCGGCACATGTATAGCACAGGGCTGACCGACAGGAGTTGTGCAAATTAGTGGATTTGATGTGTGTGTGTGTGTTGGGGGTGGCTGCGACAGACAGGAAGCGCGAGGCTAGCACGTGCCTCCGTTTGTTCGCATGTCAGCAGCTGGATGGAGGACGCATGCACGCAGAGGAACAGAGACCAGCAACTGGTGAGGCAGAAAGCACCATATCGATCTCCTTTCCCGTTCCTGTGGTTGACTTGAGTGGGGAAAACAAAAGACCACAAGTAAATACGTTAGTCTTACTAAAGTTGAAGCGTAAAGAGTTGAAGCGTAACCGATTACGAAGAGGGTCACAACAACCGTTTAGAGGGAGGATGCTGATTATGAAACATCAGAAAGGAAAGTAAGCGGAGAGAAGCCGATGGATAGAAAACTGATTATCAGCTTCCAGTAAGTTTGCGCAAAAATTAGTAGATCGCCGTATGTGATTTGACAGAAAAACAAGAGGATCTAAGGAAGTTATAACGTTTGCTTGTGAACTTTAACACCGTTACCGACAACTGGTTGCCAAGAGAAATTAGTATACGGGGGGTGGTGTGGGAAGATAAACCCATCCGTCAATGTACGGTCAACATTACAGGACTTCAGCTTCAGTGCCCTCTGTCTCCCCTATCACCACCACCACCACCGCCGCCGCTGCCGCCGCCGCCACCACCACCACCACCACTACCACTCTGGGCAAATAACTTTATTTCCTTGCCACTTTTATTGCCCGATCCGAAAATTCATGAAACCTGACTTCAGAATGGGGGAAAAAGTGGTAGGTGGAGCTACAGTGAGTGACTGATCTCATGAAATGTTGGCTGAAATTCTGAAATACGTTTTCGATTAGGAAGGATTACCTAGGTGGGGTTGCAATGTTGGTTATCTTGCGGCACAATCCTAGGATATTTCGGAATTACAGGGATGTCAGCTTTTGAATGTACTTCTTTTCAACTGTCTGTGGAAACCGTACTCGGCGAAAAATGGCTACTTAAGTAGCATGCATTTTCGCACTGATTCAAGATGGTCTCATAAATTCAAATATATTTTATAGAAGCCACGAACAAAAATATTCTTTCTGCCAGTCGTTTGATAGACAATCAAGTCATCTTTATATTTCATACTCGAAAAAGGAATATAATTAGGTTTTAAAAAATGTTTCTAATTATGAGATTTTTTAAGACCGTGCAGTGCCCATTCATACAGCATCGTATTTGTCAGCTTACCACTGTTCCTCATGAAATGCACAACATATTCCGCATCCGTCGCAAAATTTCGTGAACTCTACATTATATCCTCTTAAAGGCATAGAAGGATATTTGATTTTCCTTGCGCCAAACGCATTCACCTTGTAGACTGAAATCACTAAGCGTTAATGAAACGGCTGATCAGGCGCCGAATTATTCGGGAATTAGAAAATATTTTTAAAACCTAATTATACTCCTTCTTCGTGCATGAAATATGAAGATGACGTGATTCGCTATAAAATAAGTAGAAGAAAGCATGCTTTTGTTTGTGGTTTCTATAAAATATGTTTAAATTTTCATGACCATCGAAAATCAATGTACAGAATGCACGCTACTTAAGTAGCCATTTTTCGCCGAGTACGGTTTCTACGGGAGGTCGAAATGGGGGGCATTCAAAAGCCGAAATCCTGCCGAGTTCAAAATAATATAGGATTTTGTCGCGAGATAATCAATATTGCAACGCCACCTAGGTAATCCTTCCTAATCGAAAACGTATTTCAGAATTTCAGCCAACATTTCACCGTAATTACTCGTAAAGGCAACTAAGTCTGCAAGGTATAACCTGAACAGAGCTAAGTTATGAAGTCATCCCACCTGCCGTATCTTTCAATCGCTCGAATCTTCTGCTTCAGGCATTTGGGAACCACGGCTGACAGCCTCGATCCTCCCATCGTTCGTGGGGTCCGTATACTTCAACCTCCAGCATACGAATAAACCTCCCAACTATCGCATCTAGTGACTAGCTGTTGTAAACAGTCAAACAATTCACAGGCGGATGCCTGATTTCCACAGGTATTTCCATTTCCAGAACACGGGCTTCCATGCCTACAAGTATTCGTCAGACTTAGAACCGACAGCAGTTTCTGTGGATGCCTCCATGCGCTTCTGAGACTTCCAACTCCCTACACGATGTCCTGCCACGTTCCCAGGTTTCGGTATGGCAAGATCTTAGAGACGGATGAATTGACTTCGCGTCAGGCGCATGCGTGATGAGGGTGAATGACCCAGAGTCTTTCGAGTCTCCCAAAACAAAGGAGATGGGCAACGCTATCATCACAGTGGGTCAAATGCTCGTACGTACGGATGGAGGCACGAATGCTAGCAGTTGGCTGACACAGGTGCGTCATGTTCGGTTGTCATATTCGCCGCAGTTAAACGTATTCGAAAGAGATGGGACAAGTGCGAGCCCAACACTGCTCACACTTAAGCAGAGTTGAGCAGACTGGTAAAAAGCCTACAATGTTGTTTATGAGCTTACACTACAACTTCCTTAACAATTGGGTGACCAAAGGTTTGTAGCTGGAGATAGGGACACAAAAAGACACTCACAAGCGCATTGGCTACGATCTTAGAATACCTTTCTTTGGTGAATTGTCCATTTTTCGCCTCTCCCCTTATAACAGTACATTTTGGGCAGCTTACTTCTCCCTCCCGGAAGCATGCCTGTTATGAAAGCCCACCATCGTGGCCTAATTTTCGAAAATAAATGAATTCCCAGAGGACAGGACATACAAAACATAGGGAAGCCTGCTTTCATTGAGGCATCTCCAAAAGTACATAAGAAAGATTCACTGATAAGTAACCCGGTGTACTGCGTTCAAGATGTTTTCTGACAAATACCGCCGTCAGTTTAGCGCATGCATCGAGGGCGCGGTCGCCCCCTGTAGCGGGTGCCCTTGTCTAAGTCTTGACTGGCCACTTTCGTCTGCCGACAATCCCCTAGTCTCGTCTTGGCACGCTCGCTCGAGGCTGAATCCAGATGTCTACCAGGCAAGGCACTGTTTGCTGTTCTACCGATGACAGGGTTCTGTCCTTACGAGGAAGTATATGCTCTTCTAAATGTAGCTGATTCCCTCAGAGATTATCATAGTCCAAGCAGCAAAAGACAAAAACGCCGTCAATTTATTAAAATAATCGACCTGGCACTACTAGCCCGAGAGGATAGGCCCATATTGGACATCTAAAGCCCTCCTTAATGGTCTAACCGGTTGTTCTACTCGTATTTCGGCAGTCAACTAAAGCAAACAGGGCGTGAACCCATGGCTCATCGGTAATAATTTGGCTTCAGTGTTCAAACCCCGAGCACTCGGGTTTCATTTCCAGATCAGTCTGAAGTCAACAGTCAATCAACCACCTATACCTTTTATGCCGTAATTTGCATGCACTGAAAACAAGACGACGGCAATTTCTTCACCGACACACTCTCCCCGTTCCCCGAAATCCGTTGATTCCTCTCCCCCTGCCTTCTCGCACGAACTCGTTAAAGACGAGTCAGTTTGTTTATTTCGTTTCCTAACAAAGTGTCCTTTTTGAAGAGACGGGCGAAGAAGTCTAGAAAGTTGTCTCTATTGGTAAGCAGGTGGGAAAAGTATTTTTTGTGGACATGTCGCCGACATGCTTACCCTGCCCGACTTCCATCGCTACTGTGCCGCCTTCGCCAGTTGAGCCCCCCCCCTCCCCTATTGTCATCTTGTAAGCATTTCGGTGGACCGGAACGCATACAGCCGTGTCCAGGACGTCACTAAGATGGTGTGGTACATGCGCGCGTTATACAAACAAACCGGACGACGTCACAGTTTTTGGAAGGACATTTTACTGGTCTTAGCGCGCAGAGGGGCACGTGACAGATGTGTTTATACCGGGGACTGCGGAGCAAGGTTTGGACTGTGGTGGCGCGCACCACTTACCAACACCGTAATGAAGAGAGTGGCTGTGTGACCTTGTCCCTACTTTTACGATGTACCGCAAATAAAACCCTTCTGCAACGACTAGACCATCGAACTACATGGGCATGATGGACCAGAAACACTGTAATTGGCGCCAACCGACAGTATCCAGCCTGGTTATATTTGATTGTTTAGAATCCTTTGAGAGGTTTTAACAAAGTCTTACGCAGGCAAATATGCAGCGTTGTGCTTTGTCCACTTGGATAAAATGATAGGTTACTTTTAAACGAGTCGCCATATCGGAGAAACTTTGGTTACCACAGATAGTAAGGAGGAGATGGTAGGTGCACATTTATGGGAGAGGTGTAAATTACGATGGACTCTGGAAGATCAAGTTGTCCCGAGTGATTCGCGCACATGGTGCGTCAGCTTCGCGACGGAATGGTGGTGCGTGTCAAGTACAACGGGAAGGTCTCAGAAGCCTTCGCAGAGACTAATGGACTGGAGCAGGACTGCATACTCGCTCCTACCTTCTGCACCCCATTTCCCCTGCCATGTTGGTGGACGCCTACTGTGGTGACCAGCCCCGGGATCATCATCGTCTACAGGACCGGCGACCGGTGACTGCAAACCGCTACGCGCACTCTGCCGTCTACGAAATCCTCTTCGAGTACGCCTGTGCGGTCATGCAAAGAAGCATGGGCCCCTTTGCCTTCGGCTGTCCAAACTTCGGACTGATCATCATCAACACGGACAAAACGGTGGCCATGCACCAATCAGCACCAAAGGAGGAACACGCCACGCTCAGCATCAGTGTGCGTGGAACACGGCTCTTATCCATGTACAAGTCCACCTGCGAAGGCAGCATCATTTCGAACAACACCAAGATAGTCTGCGAAGTGGTCCACCGACCTCCAAAGCCAGCCAGGCATTCGGTCAGCCGCAGGCCTCCGTCTGGAGCCGCCACGGACTTCGACTCAACACGAAGCTCAAAATGGGCAGGACGGTAGATGTAACAAGGCTACTATACGGGCTGTGGACATTGACCGTCTACCAGTAGAAGTGAAGAGACGAGTCCCAGGAAGTAGTCTGGAAGAAGGAGACACGATTGCTGGGACAAGAGCTTTATTAGCACGCCGTTTCGGATTCCTGCTCGAATCCATCATCACAGACAACAGCAGATACGGGTGATTCGCGCACAAGGGGCTGCAGTATTTATAGGATGCAGTCGCCATGCTACCGCATACCTATGAATATTCACGGCTCCCTCCCCTTCATCAGGGATCGTTGCACGTGGCGTGATGGCCGATATTCGCGTCGTTAATTGCTGCAATTTCACCACGTGCGTTGGATGTTGGTGTGATGATTGCTCGACCATCTGACGCGCTGACCCGGGTGTTGGGACGAGTGTTCACCTGTGCGCTCCCCGCGTGGCCAATTACCCCGCCTAGACGAAGTCTCAGCACCGAGTATGGAATGGGAAGTTCATTGCACTTGTTAATTGACTGGGGGCCAGTGAACCATGATTTAAGTAACTCCTGGCTCTCGCGGTTGTCACCTCTTGCCAATCAAACCATGAAACCCAACCACTTCCACCGCAGATGTCCCCGGTGAATACTAAAGCTGAGATAACAGGACAGGATCCCGTACACGGGAGTTTTGGAACGAACCGGCATCCACTGCATGTTGATGCAACTGAAAATGCGATGGAGTGGCCACCTCATGAGGATGGACGAC